TGTAGGGAAGAGGTTGAAACACTCAATAGCGCAGTGACGTTCCAGTGCAGATAAAATTGGACTATCTGTCATCAACCTTCCAGGCATGATCTCCAGACAGGGTCAGGCAGGAACCACACCTGTGTCACTTGCTTGTTCGGTAGGAAAGTTTAACAAGTTCTTGAGATGCCCCTGGCAGTGAACACGAATGGAGAAGGGAGACGGTGGGATGGGCCATCCAGGACCTGCAGACTTGGGAGCCAACCTTCAGAGATACCAATCAGCCTCCTTGTCCTGGAAAGTTACCGGTATCTTGGGATATGCAGCTCTTAAACCTGAAAAAGGCACTGGTGTGGAATGCATGTTGACGGGGAGCAGCCTGCTTGGACTAGGAGAAAGGGTTCGCCCTGGCCCACCATCGCATCCCTGGCCCTTGCTGGCACTACCTTGCAGAGCGGCTTCCAGACCTGTGGACACCTCTCCTCCCAGAGGAGGAGTTGCAGGAGCTGGTCAGGGTGTTGTGAGTGGCAAGATGGGCATGGGGAGGGGAAGAGGACCATGGAAACCACCGAAGGAATAGGCCACTAAAAGGAAGCTTTGGTGGGTTATTTGCAAGGAGCTGTCTTTCATGTTGCTGTTATCCTCAAAGACAGCTCAACAGGAACCATTTGTAGGGGACAGCTCTGCTGCCCTCCCTGCCCTGTGAAAGCACAGACCCAAGGTGGGTGGGAAGCATCCAGTCTGACTGTCCTGAACTGCTGCCATCTGTGAGCGTTTGTTGGCCTGTGTATGGAGAATGACTGATGGGAAAACAGAGAGATGAGAGAGCAAAAAAGAGGCACTGAGAGAGGAAGAAAGAAGGAGGGAGACATGGCTGGGATGAGAGCAGATAACGATGTGGCACTTCCTCTGCCCCCAGAGTTTGGCAGAGGAAAAAGCTTTGGTACCTTGTATATGCTGAGCTGGGCACTAGCACTTCACACCATGAAACCCCGTCTTACAGGAATCAGTTGCTGTGTCCAGAATGGGCCAAAGAAACACGCTGCCGGAGAGTGCCAGAGGGAAAGGGGCTGATTCATTGCCATCTGACAGACAGAGGTAATAATTGCCCAGCAATTCTCCTGTAAATATCATTAATAACCCCTATCACCTTTTTTTAAAGGGCAGACTGATACGCAGGGAGCCCTTTGAAACTGAAACGCGTGACACGGAAGGAGGGCTGCCAGCACAAGTGTGTGCGGGTGGTCCCTGCTACAAGGTAAATCCAGAGAAACCCAGAGCACCAGCGCCCAAAGGTCCCAAGCAGAGAGTGGGGTCCTGCTTGCAAGACTCATACAGAAAGAGAGGAATCAGTCTCTGCTGCAGAGGCATTGCTGGCATTGCCAAGCTACCTGCACAAACAACTACTGCTAAAGGGTATTTTTTTGCCTGCATCGAATTGGGCACTTTTCCTAGCAGAGCTCCACCAATGAACGATTTTTTTTTCTCATGTTTCTAAAGGAACGTCCCAGTATGGGCAGAGCTGTGGAGCTAGAGAAATGGCCAGAGGCACTGGGAGTAAATGACTTGTTTGAGATTAGTATCTGAGCTTGGAATAGGATGGCAGTCCTGAATTTAAGTTTCCACTCTAATCACAGCCATCTGCCTTTGAAAAGAAGTAGCTGTTGAACAGACGGGATTTACAGCCAGTCTGTTCATCCACAGCCCGAGGAAGGCCAGCACATGTGTCCTGAGCAAGGTAGGAGGCAGAGGAGACAGGTCTTGCCTCAGGAACCAGCCCAGCTCTGAGCCTGAAGAGCAGTGTCAGATTTATTTAAATCCAGCTGGTATGAAAAGTAAAATGCCCACGCTGGCATGGGTGCCCACTGCATGAATGAAAAAGGAACAGCTCCAGGCAAGGGGGCTGCAGGTGTTGTTCATCCTCTGTGCTTTGTGCTGTTTGGGTCAGGCCCTGGACACTCACCTTGTGTAGGACCCAACAAGGTCAGCAGTGGAGTTGCCAGGTCCAAGGGAATGTCTGCTGATCCCTGGCAGACAGAGCAGTAAAATACAGTTATACTGGGATGCAAAATCAAAACAGCCTAAGGGACCCAGTGATGTACTTGCTTGGGTCTTGGTCTGAGAAGTTTTGGCAGGCCAGAAGTCCATCTAGTTGGGTTTCTTGCCCTCGCAGCAGTGAGGAAACATGAGGCAGGTATCAGCGCAGTGCAAGGTAACCTACTCACAGGGGCTAACTTGCATGAGCACTTTCATGTTTGTTCTGTCCACTTCAAGTCCAGAGGTCCCTCCCGCACAGGCCGACTCACCCGCCATCTCCCTCTGCGTGGATGTAGGTGAGCTCAAAGGAAGGGTTGACAGCTCCCCTTTCCAAGCGCCATCATTCCAAAGTCCTGATGGGTGTGATCAGGGAACTGCTTTTGATGAAAGATTTGCACTCCAAAGAATCCAGCCCTGTACAGCCCCGATGGTCCTTGGGCATTTCTTGCGACAGGAGGTGCCGTCCTGGTCAAACTCCAGTTTCAGTAACTATATAACTCAGATGTTGCCTCTTTCTGCTTCAGGGAAACATGCTGTGTGTGGGCCTAAGCTACTCTGCTGGGACTTGGGCCACCAGTGGCCACCAGTGTGCAGGGTGCACATGAGTGTCCAGGGAGCACTGGGGGTTATCCAGAAAGCAGGGAGGCACCAGGAGATGGAAAAGAGAAACAGGGACTTCCCTGAGTCAAACATGGAGCCATAAGTATGCAGATTGCTGAGCTGTTTATCTTCTAGTCTGATAAAGGCATACCAAGCACCGGAATGTGTGGATTTATTTGCAGATGATTAATATTAGCAGATAGATTGCACTTAATGAGGGTAATAATTCAGTGGTAATTTACTGCTGGGAACGATGGGAAAACTGCCTTGGAGCCATGAGGTGCGAGTCAGTGGGAGAAAGGCAGAGTGTCCTCCCAGCGCGGAGGGGACTTGGTGGGGCACCCAGGCTTGTTCTGGGGAGCTGCTGCTGGCAGTGGGAGCCGCAGGCGGCCTCCCTCCCTTGTCTGGTCTTGCTGCCGAAGTTTCTTTCTGTTTTCGGATGTTTCTGCTAAGGAAAGGGGGCTTGTGAGGTCACAGGCGTGGGTAGGAGTCATCTGCCTCAGCCAGACTGTGGGATGGAGATGCTGCAGGTGGAGCAGGGCAGCCTTTGTGGTCAGTGGAGAGAACCTGGTATTTCTAGATAGATCAGGAAGATCTGGAAGGGCTGATCTCCACATGGCTGTAAGCACAGGCTGATGTGTCGTTCAGACTTCAATATCTGCACTGGCGACATCTGAAGTTTAGTGGAGTGACTCCTGTTTCTGTACCTTTAGGAACTCTTGAAACCGCTCGTGTGCCTCAGCCAGAGAGGAGAGCAGAGATGGTGGGCTGCCAAATTCCTACAAGGTTCAGGAGTGAGGTGGACAAGTGAAGAGAAGAGACACTAAGAGAAAGGCTAGTAAGGTCAGAGAACCCACGTCAAGGAGAGACTCCCGGAACCAGGCCTTTTTGTTTCTGCTGTTCACAGAACTACAGGACATGTGTAAAAACAAGATCTCCAGGTAAAACAGGAGTCTGTATTAATGTATGTGGTGTAAGAAATGGGGAGTGGCTCAGGCCCATTGCAAAGCAAGAGTCAGACCCTTTCCTGGGGTGGGATGTTGCATGTGCCCCAGTGCTGGAGGGTGCACACATCGGAGATGCCAATTTGCCTGGTGCAAACGGAGGGGATTTGACAGGGTTTGGTACCCACTGGACGCTTGCTGGGCCGAGCACAGAGACTCGGTGCCGAGCCCAGGCCTGCCCACGCTGCAGGGCACACATCATCCTTTGTTTGGAGTTTGCACAGCCTCTGGCGCCTTGGGGCCCTGTGGTACTAGGGTGCCAGGCAATTGGGAAGATGGATGAGTATTACTGGTTTTTCTTAGTCTAGCTTATCTTTTCCACTGCTATGGTTCTTTCCATGGTGCAAGGTGGCTTCCTCCACTGAGAGCCTGTGTGCAGCCCAGGAGTGAAGAGCCAGAGATTCCTGGTTTTGCTGGTGGTGCCAGTGAAAGCATGCCTGTGGTCCCAGTGGAGTGAGCAGTGTCACCCATACCCATCTGATCTGTCTCCTGTCACCTGCACAGAACCTGGCATGAAAGGTGACATTCTCAGGGCTGGTTATCACCGTTTCCCTTTTGTCCAGGAATGCAGCTCCTGGCCTAGGCCCATACACCACCTCTTCGCCAGTGGCGTTTCCTCGTACGCCAACTTGGCTGGGCAACCCGTTGGCAGTGGCCAGCTCCATGGTGCAAGGCGACGGAGACACAGGCTCACTTGGAAGGGGAACTCCAAACTATCTCAGCTGCCAGCTGCCTTAATGTTTCCCAGGCTTCCCCTTCACTGCAGGGCTACTCAGTTGGTCTCACTGGCTGGCACAGGGGTCAAAAGATTTGTCCAGGGAAGAATGAGGAACACTATATCCTAGAGGGAGACAACAGGATTATTTACAGCACCAAAATAAAGCATGGAATGCAGAAAGGCATTGCAAGGCTCAAAGCTGCCCCTATGGCTCAGCACCTCATGGGACATTTTGTGCAATTTATTTCATGAACTTAGAGCTCAGGAGAGGCAGCTTTCTGGTTATCTACGGGAGGGAATTGCCGTGTCCCATTTGCCTTTGCAGCCTGCCTCAGCCTTACAAGAACACCTCCCCCAAAGGCAAGGGACAGAGTGGCCACCTGATGAGACAAGGTCCCCTGCACATCTCTATCCGACAAGCCTTATCACTTCTGGTGCCTGCCCTTGTCTCCAAAGGGAGACCTCCTCATGGGAAAACCCTGGACTAGAACAGTAGGGCTGGCATTAATGTGCTATCCAAGTGCATCTCTGAACTGAAGGTTTTGCGGTGTAAAACAGCCTGGCTTGGGGAGGAGAGCACGTTCTGCCGGTCTCAGACAACTTTGTGGAGTCTGATCTCCCTCTGTGGTAGAGCATAGAGCTCCAGAGCAAGAATCACACCAGCAAAGGACTGTGCCTGGTACAAGGCAGCAGACCTCTGGAGAGAGTCAAGGAGCACACACAGGGACAGCTGGACCGTGCGTGGCAGACATGGGGTTGTTTGTCCCAGAAGGAAACGCTGCAAAGTGCTGAGGCTGAAAGGTGTGCTCTCCTGATTGTGCTCTTTCCAGCTCTGCCTCAAGTGACCTTGAGCGGGGTCTGTTATCTTATTTGTAACATGGGTGCAAGATAGCTGCCCTTCTCCGAGGGAACACAAATGTGCTCAGCAAGGTCTGCCCAAGGCCCAGAAATATTAACAGCACTCAGCAGAAGTGCTGGGAGAGGGGCCGTGCGAGCAGGGCTAGCTCTTCCCAGGGCCTGGGTGGGGAGTAGCCCCAACCCACACCTTCATTCAAAAATGCATTGCATTTCTGCAGTTCTGCAGGAGGGAGTGACGGCCGGGGATGGCCGGTACTTCACGTGCAGTGCAAATCATCCCCAAGCCCCGAGGCTGCAGGAGTTTGGAAGATTGCGCTCACCTGGAATTCGGGCTCGGGGCTGGCTCCAGGCTCTGCCTCCCCTCATCTCTCATTATTTTTCCCCTCAGGGCTTCCTTCCCACTCTTAGGAGAGTCATCAGAAGAAAGGTTTCTTGCACAAACAATTGGATTCCAGTGAAGGGAGGTTTTCTGATTTAGAAGAGAAAAGAGGAATTTCTCCAAAAAAGTGTGGAAAGGTTCTGTGTGGAGGAGTTTGGGAGAAACTCAGCAGCAGGCAGGTCCTGACGCCTTGATGCCAGCGGTTGTGCAAGGTAGTGCAAAGCCCTGAGAAGAAACAGGGAGCAAAGAAAGATTGGGATGGGGTATGCAGACTGGATGCAACTGAAAAGCGAACGTGGTTACAGCAGGGCAGGAGTCACCATGTTTGTATGTTGCCGCTGCCTGTTATGTGGCCTTGGGCAACTCATTAAGGCCAAAATGCTCAAACCTAAGTGGTGGAAGATAAGCAGTGAAATAAAAGGTCTCATTGTTAAAGGTTTTGAGGTCAATATCTTCAAAAGTACTCAGGTGTTTAAATCGAGGTTGGCTGCGACGGACGTCCTGTCGCCCTTGGTTAATGATGCAGAGAGACCAGGATCCAGCCCATTAGCTTTTGGCTTGACAAGCTGGCAGCCTAGTTTGCTTTCTTGAAAAGTTTTACACAGGATGTTACCGTGCTGTAGCCGATGGCCTGGCTCCAATGGCGTGAGGCCAGCAGCAAGCTCCAACTGTAAGTCTGCCTCGAAAGAGATGGCAGGCAACATGCATTTAAAGCAAATAAATCATCTCGGACCAGATGGATGCCTTGGCTCAGTGAAGTCTGGCCCAACGGTCGTGACAGGAGTGTGGTTCTCTGCATGGCTCGGAAACAGAGACTGCCGCACGTGGAGCTGATGTGCATGTGGTCTGGCTCTTGGTCTAGCGCAGCCCCGCGTGACGCTGCTGACTGCATGCAGACCATGCTTTCCAGGCTCCGTGGTGCTCAGCCCCTACAGCAAGAGGAAGCATTTCTGTACTTTCCTTTTGGTCAGTGTGGGTGGGTTGACCCAAAAAGCTGCAAGTCATCACGCTTCACATCTGTCTGTCCTCTGAGAAGCAGTTAGTTCATGTGGAACAGTCTGGTGCCTCTTAAGCCAAAAGCAAGGGAATTTGGGGGCAGTGAGCTCCTCATCTGACAACAGATACACATCAGCTGAAGCTGCTGCCACTAGCCAGATGAACACAGCATTGAAACTCCTTCCTGAAGACAACATTCACCCCTGTGCAAAGGGCCACGTTCACCCACGGTGAGCTGGGAGCAGGACCCATCCGCAGCACCTGAGGCAAGCTGTAGGACCAGCACAACAGCACGAGGCCAACAAGCCCCTGCCTGGCCTTGGGTGACCCTGTGTGCAGGCAGCCATCTCACCCCCGGTGACGCCAGTCCTTCCCAGATCTGTCAGATTTGGGCAGAGCAGCGCTGCCTGGCAGATCAGACACCTCGCTGCAGAGAGCACTTTGCTGCTTTCCCGAACAAGGCGGGAAGGACGCCTGAGGCTAGCGCTCGCTGCTGACTTCAGCATATACCTTAGCTGACTGGGGGACCGGCCACAGCCCCTAATCCTCTATACGTGCCGGCTCGCAGACATGCCGCGTTCCCCCAGCCCTGCTCTTTGCACATTGCTGGGGCCAGGCAGAGAGCCCCCGCAGCCCTGCACGCTCCCATGCTGACGCGCAGCCGCACATCGACGCTCGCCCCAGCTGGGACGTGGAAACAAAAGCCATTGTGGAGATCCCAGGTGATGGGTTTGAAGGGGAAGCATCAATATTTGCGGTAAATAGGTGGACAATGAAGCAGGGCCAGAATATGGGGACTGCCGCAGCCTGATTGTATTTCAAGAAGGGGCTAATTCTGCATCCCTGGCTGTCGTGGGAAGGGCAGCGCAGCACTGTAACACAAACGCCCATTAGTGTCGCCAGCAACGATCTTTATTGATGGCCAGTCGAGCTGGAATAATGGGGCAGTGATCAAGGAAACAAAGAATAGTCATACAAATAATTAATAACATCAGCAGAGCTTGTGACTGTACGGCAGAATAAGAGGTGCCGATAAACAGCAAGACCCTCCTGGAGTTGCTCCGTCGCCAGCCTCGCACCATGTCATGAAGCCAAACTCCTCATTAATGAGCTAATTGTGCCCAGCACCAGGCTCCTGTGCTGCCACGCTACAGAGGGGAGCAGCTGGCAGAGCGTGTTGCTCGTGGAGGCCGTGAACATCTAAAACACCAGCTACATTTAAGCTGGAAAAGCGCGCGCTGAAACCCTCTAGGTGTAATGGCATAGCCGCTGGAGGGCAGAGGCAAGGCTTTGACTGATGCCGTAACTGTATTTTTCATACCCCACCGTATGTGAAGCTCCTGAAAGCTTACTCTTTGAACTTCTTGGGTTTATCATGTTTGTTTTTAGGACTAACTGCAACATCTTGAAGTGGCTGAAACCACTGCATTGCTGATACCTGCTCTCAATCCCAGGCCCTCTCTGCAGTTTTGTTTCTTGCTCTCCCCATAGGCCACCTCCTGCATGGACCCACGCGCAGGAGAGCGCCGCAGGCTGGGCTGGACAACATCACTGCCTCCCCTGCTCCCAGCCTGCTCAGGGGTGTGTTTACAGCCAGGGAGCTGAAGAGGAGCTACTATCTGTCAAATTCAGCAAGGCAGTTTGCAATGCAAATCAACAGGCTCTAACCAGATTTATGCTCTGGGAACCAGTCAAAGCTGAACCAGTCCAGTAAGCCAGGGGCGCCTGCAGCTTCCTCATGAGATAAACGGAGTGCAGTCTGCATTTTTAGAGCACATAGGATGGTTTAAGGTGGAAGAGCTGTTAGGAGTAATTAAACCTCACAAGAACTGAAACAAACTGCATTTGTGAGTCAAGGATTTAGGGTGAGTGTCAGACACTAATCCTGCTAATACTGATACCAGTATTCTCTTTTCCATGTGGCTGTGCCGTAGGTACTTAAATATGATTTTCCATTGGGTAGTTAGCATGCTCAGGCTCATTTTTTACCATTTTTGTGCATGGTTTTAATTAGTGAATGAAAACTTGCAAATATAGTGGCTCAGCCTGGGCTCTCCAGGCTGAGTGAAGTGCTCAGCACAGAGCACTCCATCAAGCCTGGAAAGTGTCTTTGACTTATTAAATGTGACAATATGGGACAGGGACACAGGGAGGATGAGAACTCAGTTTGATTTAGTTTCTCGAATATCTCGAATATGAGCAAGGCCTTCCACCGGTGTGAGTTGGTACCGCTGGCTGCATAGGAACTCACTGAGTCACACAAGGCAAATATTTTTCCCTTTGATTTTCACCCTGAGAAAATCTAGAGCTGACCTTGTTAGTCCTGTGTGTTACAAACCTCCCCCCATCCTTTATCACGTTTCAGCCATGGGATAGTGTTACCAGCCTAGCACCTTTGGTCTCTCCTGCCAGCATCCTGCCTGGCGCAGCGCCACCCCGTTGAGTCTCCTGGTCTTCCTGGAGGGCCGCTTCCCAGAGCGACCCTGACTGTCCCGGGGCTCCTGGGGCGTGCAGGATCCTGCCGCTGCTGCTCCCTGGGGGGATCGAAGAAGAAAACCCCCTGGTGCACGACCTCCGCGGGTGGTCGCTGCAGGCGGTGTCGATGCAGGAGCCTGGCCGGCCGCGGTCAGCTCTGGCTTCGCTGCACATCTGCAAGGTGCGTTAGCCGCCCTCCTCAAACACAGCTGCTCCCCCCGACCACCCGGCAGACAGCTCGGGAATGACCCCACGACTGTGTCCTGGCAACTCGGGCCGGCTGGGAAAGGGCAGTAATCTAAATCTTTGGGAATTGTTTGCTCCAGCTGCAGGCCACAACACACAAGTGCTAGGGCCCTGCTAGTCTCCATCTCCTTCAATTCTAACCCAGCATCTCACAAACGGTCCCTCTCCCCCCACTTCTCTGCCACCTAAACCAGTCCACCGCGTGGCCCACACGTGTCTTGCCATTGCCCTCCCCTAGCGCCCAGGCAGGGCGCCCGCAGAGAGCAAGCCTGGCCTGCCAGCTGCCCAGCGCCACAAGGAGCGGCACAGGCAGGGAGTGCTAGCAACACATCTTCGTGTGGGCTCTGGGCACTGCCCGTCTGTGCCATCTGCACGTGAAGATAGCAGACAAGGTATTTCCCTGCACCTGCAGGCATCAAGGCTTTACTCCTCCTCCTCCGGTGAGGACACCGTGATGTCTCAGGTGCCAGGGCGCTGGGTGCTGCGCTGGGTGCGGAGCAGGAAGGGCTGCAGGAGGGAGCCCGGCGGCGAGGCACTGTTAACACTGAGCCTCCACAGCCCAGCCCTTGTCTAGCCCTGCGCTGCAGTTCTTACCCTGCGGCGCGACCAAGGCGTTAGGGTCTGTCCGAAGCCCTGCAGGGACTGTACAGTCCCGGGAGCAGACGTCCAGGTGCCAGCGCTCCCTCCCCAGGTGCCTGGCGTGCACGTGAGAACAGCGGGCAGCACCCGTGGCGGCAGAGGAGGGCGCAAGGCTGGATTTCGCGGTTAGGTTTCCCCTTCCTTTCCCTCCGTCCTTCCTGCCGCCTGGCAAGAGCCGCAAACAGCGCAGGAGCCTGAACGAGGGCTCTGGAGCGGGCTGTGGCTGCGGTTAAAGGTCTGACCCTTGCTCGGTTAGGTGCGGCGACACGCTCCGCGCCGTGCCTCGCTGGGACAGCCCGGTCCGTGGGCTCAGCCGTGGCCAAGCCT